GGGGAGCGAGATGGCACAACGCAGCTCCCCACGCAAGACTCCAACGCAGCTCCCCACGCAAGACTCCAACGCACGAGATGGAGATGGAGGAAGAATGACCCGAAAACAGACAAAGGTTGGGGTATACCCCAGCGGACTGACGGGACTGGACTGGACTGGCTGGTACCGACAGAGGTACCGGCCTGGACTGGACTGCCCCGAATAAAACACAGGCCTGTGAGAACAGGCCAAGGGGCTGGTCTCACAGGCCCACCGGAGGTCCGCTACACAATCCTCGGCCTATGATGGATCGCCTAGGTACAAGCACGCTTCCGCCAAGAAGCGGAACTCTACCAAGAAAAAGAAAACCTGAGTAGTCTAGGATGCGGAGCGAGCTCCATGCTGAGTCAATGCGATGCAACCTAGGCTAGAAAATGTCACAAAACAGCAATGTCACAACTAACATCCTAAGTGAAAGCAGAAGCAACTAACTAGCATACATGTCCTAGGAAAGCAGAAGCAGCTAACTAGCATACATGTCCTAGGAAAGCAGAAAGTAGTGATAACTAGATCCTAGAATGTTGGAGGCACTAGCCTCAGTCTGGGAACAACTGACTAGTGTATAAGTCCTAAGAACAGCAAAAGCAGAACAACTAAATTCTAGAAATGTCAGAGGCAGTAGCCTCAGTCTGAGAGCAACAAAGCAACAACAAGTCAACCATATGTCACATAAGAAGTGTGTCGCAAACCAAAGGGTGGGATGGTCTCTGAGGGTGGCGAATGCAGCCTAGGGGTCGAAAACTCCTAAGCGCATCCACACATAGTGACAGGGAAAACACGTGTCATCAGGCTCAATGAGGATAGGGAACTGGGAGCGAACATAACCAATGACCCTAACAGATAGACCATCAGGGCGGGTAATGCTCGACTAAGGGGTGACCGCTATGGAGGGTCGACCATGCAAGGGAACAAGGGAGCCTGGTATACTGGGCGCACCTAGATGAAGCATGCAGGGCTGCCTAACTAGGGCGTGAGGGTCGACGAAGGGTCGAAAGATGATGGGTAAGGGAATCATGCAGGTGACTCCTAAGGTGGGGAAGTCGGAGCTAGATCCGTAAGATGGGAAGCCAGGGCAACGCTACGGTCCCGATGCCTATGCGTATACCAAGGGAGRGCCCAACTCAGAGGAACCCGGCTAAAGGGAGACCATCATGCGACACAAGCAGGGTACTGTACAGGGTAAAGTGGTAAGAGAGTGACGACGTCTGAAGTAGGCAGAGCAGATCGTGACGAAGTCCATGAAGCTGCCGATGACGTACACGATGAGAAGTCCAAAATGCCGACGAGGAAGAGCCGCAGCGTCGACGAGCTGAAGTAGCAAAACTGATGTGGATGGAGTACTGAGAAGTCAAAGACGTGGAAAGGTAAGTCAGCGTCAATCGTCGTATCGAGCAGGACGACGACGAGTGCGTTGTGGACGCTCATAAGCATCCGGCTGCTGCGGAAGGTCTGCCTCAGATGGAGCAGGCTCGACTTCAGCGGTTTCCTCAGCCGGAGGAGAAGGAGGAGGGTCAATGGGCTGAGGAGGAGCAGTGAACCCAGCACGACGAGCACGGTCATAGGCACGCACCAACATGCGAGCGTGCTGCAAATGCTCGAGGGGCTCCTAGGTAGCCTCCTCATCAGGGTAACCCTTCCAACGTACGAGATACTCGACGTGGGGAGGGTTGTCATCGGTGACTCGACGACCAATGATGTCTGAAACGAGGAACTCCTCGTGACCGTCTACCATGATGGGTGGAGGGCGCTCGTATGGTCGTCCAGCGAAACGCTCAGATGGTCTGCAGTAAGGACACAGTAACGAGACGTGGTAGACATCGTGCACACGAGTCTGGTGTAGGTAGTCGGGCAGCTTCACACGGAAGCTGACCGCGCTAGATGCCGTATCAGAACCGACGGCCTGGAGGATGCGGCATGGGTCAAAGAAGCGACGCCGAAACTTGCGAAGCGTGTCCGCTTCGAGCTGTAAGTGGCGGGTGTCGATAAGCACGTCATCACCGACTTTGAATGGATGATCCATCCTCGATCGGTTCGCACGTGCTACCATGCGAGTCTGGGAAGCGGCTATGTGCTCATGTGCGGTCTTCATGATCGACGTCATGTGTGCAACCCAATCATCCAGCGCCGGACAACTCGTGTCGGGGTGCAGCTGGGACGGTCGAAGGAAGTTCGCGGGAACACGAGGGTGATAGCCAAGGTCGCAATAGTAAGGCGACATCCCCGTGGCTGGCGAGACGGCGTGGTTGAAGGCTATCTCAGCGTGGGCAAGGTGGAGATCCCACTGCTCGTCGTCACGAACAATCTTTCGGAGAATATCTCCGAGAGTCCTGTTCGTGATCTCGGTCTGACCATCAGTCTGAGGATGGTAAGACGAGGAGAAGCGGAGCTGAGTGTCGTTTACCTCGTGGAGCCGTCGCCAGAATCGGCTGGTAAAGCGCGGGTCACGGTCAGATATGATGCTCAGAGGTAAGCCGTGGTCACGCACGACTCGGTCAAACACGGTGCATTGATGGCATAGCGGCATAGAACAAAGCGTGCACGCTTCGTGAAGCGGTCGACAACGACCAGGATAGCATCATTACCACGAGGGGTCGGAGGACGAAGGGGACCGATAAAGTCCATCGAGATGGACTGCCAACGACCCTCAGGGATAGGAAGAGGCTGGAGCAAACCATAAGGCAAGTGGTTCGCACTGTTCACCTCCTGACAGGTGGGACACTCTGCGACGTAGTCCTTCACAAAGTCCTTGCGCTTCGGCCAGACGTACAGGCAACTCACACGAGCCAACGTCTTGTGGAAGCCCATATGACCGGCGGTTGCCTGGTCATGGAACTCTGCTACTGCTCGGACACGTAGCTATCCAGTGGAGGGAACGCAAATATGGGGCTCTCAGGTGCCCTGTGAACCGTGCCAGTACACAAGACCGTTGTCCCCGAGAGAGTAGTTCGGGACGGTCTTGCCACTCCGAAGGGTCGCGTGGATGTCGCAATAGTCGGGGCAGTGGCGGTACTGAGTGAGAAACTCGTCAATCACCGAGTGGTGGACGGTGGTGACCGAGATGGAAGAGAGTTGGATGTGCTCCTGGTCGTGGTCAGGGCGTCGGGATAAGACATCTACGACCCTATTAGTCTCACCCTTGATGTGCTCAGTGGTGAAACTAAACTCGGATAGGTCGCGCCACCAGCGAGCCTGTCCAGGAGTGAGCTTCGGTTTTGTCAGAAAAGCCTGGACAACAGAGTTGTCCGTACGCACCGTGAACGGTGCCCCGTGCAGGTAGTCACGCCAGTGCCGAGCGGCATAAACTACTGCGAGAACCTCACGTCCATCAGCAGTGTAGTTTATCTCGGCGGGCAGGAGTTGACGGAAGTAGAAGGCTATCGAACAATCACCTGAGCGAGACTCGAAAGTGCCGTCCTCGGCGATGGTAGGAGAATAGTCAATAGAAGGCTCGTCAGTAGTTGGACGAGTGGGCGTCAGTAGGGAAGCAGTGGTAGGGGTAGGTGGTGGGAAGCGAGGGATACGAGGACGAGAGGAATCAGGAGAGGAGGGGAAGACCTGAGAAAGCACTGCTCCTACAGCGAAGTCTCACGCATCGGTGGTAAGGATAAAAGGGCGGTCAAAATCGGGTAGGTGAARAACCGGTGCGCATGTCACCGCCTTCTTGAGGGCGCGGAAGGCGTCCTCGTGGAGGGGTGTCCAAGCCCAGGGTGGGTTCTTCCGAAGGAGGGTGGAGGTAAGGACTTAGGAATACCTAGCTTATCCCCGGATGAARTTACTATAGTAGCTGGTCAGGCCTAGGAAGTTGCGAAGCTGCTTGGCGGATGTGGGAGCGGGCCACTCCGCAATAGCAGTGATCTTTGCGTCGTCCATGTAGAGACCCTGGTCAGACACGTAGTGTCCTAAGAAATCCACTTTGTGCTGGGCAAAGCGGCACTTGCTCAGCTTGGCATAGAAGCCATGTCTGCGCAAGCGGTCAAGGACGTCGCGGAGGTGTCTGAGGTGCTCCTCAAGGGTATGACTGTTGACCAGGATATCATCGAGGTAGACGAGAACGTACCGCTCCAAGATGTCCCAGAAGATGTCGTTCATCGCCCTCTGGAAGGTAGCGGGTGCGTTGGTGAGGCCGAATGGCATCACCGTAAACTCGTAGTGGTCGAAGCGCGATCGGAACGCGGTCTTCGGTTGGTCGGCTGCGGCGACGCGGATCTGATGGTAACCACTACGAAGATCAATCTTCGTAAAGAAGCGGTTGCCTGCTAGGCGGTCGAACAGCTCATCGGAACGAGGCATGGGGTAGCTGTTCTTAACCGTGTAGCGGTTGAGACCGCGGTAGTCGATGCAGAGACGAAGAGTTTCATCCGCTTTGCGAGCAAAGAGGACGGGTGCACCCCACGGGAAGTTGCTGGGTTTAATGAAACCCAGTCTCAGGAGCTCCTCAAGCTGACGCTTGAGTTCGGTGGCCTCGGGGATCGAGAGTCTGTAGGGTGCCTGG